GAAGGGATCACTACTGCTTCGGGGCCCACTCGACAAGAGTCACCGTGTACTGGTAACATCGCCATCATCACCATCACAATCACCATCCTCCTCCTCCTCCTCCCCCTCCTCATCATCAGAATCCTCATAATCATCAGCCGCAGCATCAGCATCATCAGCATCATCATCGACATCGCCATCGTCATCATCAGCATCACCATCATCAGCATCACAATCATCAGCATCATCATCAGCATCACCATCATCAGCATCATCATACTCATCGTCATCATCATCGTCAGCATCATCATCATTACCATCGTCATCGTCATCATCATCATCATCAGCATCATGATCATCATCATCATCATCATCATCGGCATCACCATCAGCATCATCATCACCATCAGGATCATCATCACCACCACCATCATCATCAGCATCATCAGCAGCAGCAGCGTCATCATCATCATCGTCATCATCATCATCGTCGTCGTCGTCGTCATCTTCATCATCATCATCAGCAGCAGCATTCGCAGCATCATCATCACCATCATCACCATCAGCATCATCTTCATCGCCATCAGCATCATCAGCATCATCATCAGCATCAGCATCAGCATCATCATCACCACTACCACCATCACCATCATCATCATCATCATCATCATCATCACCATCACCACCACCACCATCAAAATCAGCAACATCATCATCATTCAGGCATCACCATCCAGCATCATCATCATACAGCAATCAGCATCTCAATCTCAGCATCGATCCAGCATCATCATCATCATCAGCAATCACAAACAGCTCATCCACATCATCATCATCATCTCTCATCATCATCACATCATCATCATCATCATCATCCCACCATCATCATCATCACCACCACCATCATCATCATCATCACCATCACCATCACCATCACCATCACCATCATCATCATCATCATCATCATCATCATCGTCATCATCAGCATCAGCATCATCATCATCATCATCATCATCATCACCCTCCTCCTCCTCCCCCTCCTCGCCCACCGCCTCTTTGTCTCCGTACACCCCTCCTACTCCTCCTCCCCTTCCTCCTCCTTCTCCTCCTCCTCCTCCGCCTCATCCTCCTTCTCCTCCTCCTCCTCGTCATCCTCCTCCTTCTCCTCCCTCCTCCTCGTCCTCCTCCTCCTCCTCCTCCTCCCTCCTCCTCCGTCTCCTCATCTTCCCCGTCCTCCCCTCCTCCTCCTC